TCTTATTTCTTGATTTTTTTAAAGATTTATTTTTATTTATTTATTATGTATTCAGTGTTCAGCCTGCATGTATGTATTCCTGCAGGTCAGAAGAGGGCACCAGATCTCATTACAGATGGTTGCGAGCCACCATGTGGTTGCTGGGAATCGAACTCAGAACCTCTGAAGAGCAGCAAGTGCTCTTAACCTCTGAGCCATCTCTCCAGCCCTCTTGATTATTTTTTAGTGTCTGAGAAATGTGTATATATAAGCCTCATGATAACTGCTTTTAGCATTAGGTTAACTTAAAAAACTTAACCAAAATTATTACTAGCCAAAAAGATAATGGTAGTTGAAGGGACACTGGTCCCTGAAGTATGTAGCTCTTGCCCTTCTCCATTTCCCTCTGCTTGCTAAAAACCATTAAATTACATTTTTAAAGCTAGCCACCAGTCTATTCCCTTATTATTATTCTTTCTCCTGAGGCTGACTACTAAAGTTCAGCAATCAGAAGCCCCTTTAGTTCATCTGATTGACATGCCCAAGTAAAATTAAACACTTTATCCTAACATGGATGGGGTTTCCCCTTTACCTTTATAAACCATTTGCCTATGGGCCATGTCTGTCTCCTCTCTATCCAGAGGCAGTCCTTTGTCCCTTTGGGACAAATACCCCTCTCCCCTCCCCACTGTCCCCTTCCCCTTCTCCCTTGTCCCCTATCTCTCTTTACTACTGCATCCTAGTCCATTCTCACACAGACCTCCCTTTTCCTCCTCTTAAAAATCACACCTGCTGTTTGTCTGCCCAAGTCAGAAAGCAGCCACTTTAACCTTTCTTCCGCGGTTAATAAAGGATCTTTCTGTGAAAATAAATGTTTGGATATGATTTGTGCCTAATCTCGGTCCAGTAGGAAGCTCCTGCTGTGTGGGAGTCCCTTTCAGTAGTCTCCTACCCCATTTTTTCCCCTTCTTTTTAGAGACAAGGTCTCTCTGTGTAGCCTTGGCTAGTTTGAAACTCTGATTTGTAGACAGACTGGCCTTGAACTCAAAGAGATCCACCTGCCTGTGCCTCTGGAGTTCTGGCATTAAAGGTGTGCTCTAGTATACCAAGACTCACTTCAGTTTTTAAAGGAAGTCCACACGTGTAGAAAAGGTTAACAAATGTAAGCAACACTGTGGACCTATGACCTAGACAACAGCGATTTTTAATATTTCAGCCTGTGCCAAATATGGAAACTTGATAGACTGCTATAAAAAGGCCAAAATATCAGCTAAACCATATTAAAGTCACATCTGTGACATTTCCACTTATTGGTTCCAACTATTATTTATGTATTTCCTAGGAGTAAGTACTTTATACTTGATAATAGTTATACCATTACCCAATAAAATTAAAAATCCTGAATGCCTTCCAATGTGTAGTCTATATTAAAAAAATTCCAGTTACCCCCTAAATGTACTTAAAAAAAAAAGTGAGCTGGGCAATGGTGGCACTCATGCCTTTAATACCAGCACTCGGGAGCCAGAGGCAGGCGGATCTCTAGTTCGAGGCTAGCCTGGTCTACAGAGCAAGTTCCAGGACAGGCTCCAAAACAATACAGAGAAACCTTGTCTCGAAAAACAAACAAACAAAAAAAAGAAGTGGATTGGTGTTTTGCCTATGTGTATGTCTGTGTGGAGGGTGCTGAGTCCCTTGGAACTGGAGTTATAGACAGCTGTAAGCTGCCATGTGGGTACTGGGAATTGAAACCAGGTCCTCTGGAAGAGCAGCCAGTGCTCTTAACCATTGAGCCAGCTCTCCAACCCCCTCAACTACATTTTTAAAGTCACAGTTATTAATTATGGCTATTATTTTTTTAGTTGTCAAGTCCTGGGAAGATGTTAAACTGAAATTGTTAAGATTTTTAGAATTCTAATTTTCTTTTATCACTGGAAACAAATGTCAGTTGTTTTCCTAGTACTGACAAAAAAACGCACCCCATTCATTTTCCAGAATGAACACTGAAGTGTCACGTCTAGTTTGTCAATCATTCATTCTTCCAGGTAAAAGTGCAATTCTATAAAACGAGAGGCTTACTTACAACTCAATCCCACAAAAGCTTTTCCGCATGACAACAGCCCCACCTCCAAACAGTGGTGGCGTTACCTTCAGACAATAGTGCTGTGAATGTTACAGGGTAACCAACCATTTTCTGACTGAATTTGAGCCCCCTCCACAGGAGGAAATTTTCATGCAGTATTTTAAGTTTCATCAAAAGCTTGTACCTGAGAAAGTCATAGATCTTAGAGGGGAAGCTACAGCTGTCATTTTGCTAAATGGACACAACATACCCATCAAAGAGCCTTGTGAACATGAATGTTTATGTCCACAGGGCCATGTCAGCTTTAGAGAAGCATCTTTTTTGCAGTTTGATCATGCATTTCATTATGCAGAGATTCATCATTGGCCAAAGTGCTAAGAGGCTGTAGAAGAATGCTCAATTGTACATGGACGCAGAAAGAACGGTGAGAGTTGTGGACAGACATGCTCTCTTGAACTCACAGCAATTGTGACTGCCTGCACAAGGCCATGCCAATGTGCCATCATGAAGGAGAGAGGGCTCCAGAAGCCCCGCCCTGATCTATAGTCAGTTAATGGCGGCTGGGGTAAGAGGAGACACTTCATGGTAAGTCACACATGTTCCTGTAAGCAACACTAATTAAATTCACTAGGTCACCTGCCCCATGGCCAAAAAGATAGGAAGGTAAGAGGGGCTAGAGGGAGGGGATTAGTATGAGTGGGAGAGGGACAAGAGGGTAATGATGTATGAATACAGTCAAAGAACATATACATGCATAAAAATGTCATGATGAAGCACATGCTCATCTATAATGCATACTAATGAAAACTGTTAAGAATACTTCCATAGACAATATAAATGCTTTACACATGCTCTTCATTCTCATTAGAGTCTTGAAAGCTGAACTTTAACTACCAGTTGCATGGTAGCTGCCCGTGCTCCATCAAGGGCATTCTCACGTCTGCTGCCACTGCCTAGCTTTTACCTAGCAGCACTTTTGGATCCCCAGTGCAAAAGTCATGAGGAAACAAAAACGCTTTATTTAGAATTCTGAAATGTTAGGACCTCAAAACTCCCCTGAAAGGGTCTGCGGGGTATTTCCTGAGATCAGCTAACCACAATGTAGAAATTGCTTTCCTAGTATACCCCTATTCAAGATGGGAGTAGTGATAACTCTTAAGCCATGCTCACTCTCAAAGTCCATTCTGTTTTGTTATTTTGGTTTGATATACCCCGTAATAAAGGAAAATGGGCAGAATCTAATCAGTTTATATTTTGGTTGCCTTTCCACAGAATCAATAATTCTTAATATACCGATTATCTTAGTTAAGGGTTGCCCATTGTAAAAATGATATTGGCCCTCCACCACACCCAACCTCCAAAAAAACAAACTTTCAGATACACAGTCCTTAAACTGCACGTTTAACAACCTCCGAGATACTTTTTGTATGTGCTCTAAAGTTAAGAACGACTACAATCAATAAGTCATAGTCCAAGCTCCTAGTTCCAGAACAAGGAAGGGGTCTGGAAAGTCACTGCTGAACCCGCAGCAGCCCTCTCCTCCCTTCCCCCTTCACCTGGGGAAATTCCTTTAAAACCCCCATTTTTTTTCCCGACGTTTTGTGCTGCAAAGGGTGGTGAAGAGAAGTGTGGAGAAAAGGGCTACCCTCTGCGCTGCTCTCTAAGATACTACAGCTTGATCTCCATTTCCTCCTCGGGAAGGAAAAGCCCAAAGACTCTCAGCTTTTTTTCTGAAGGCTTAAAATAAGTGAGACGAGAAACGTGCAGTGTTACTGACAGTTAGAAAGAATTCCACAACCCGGGAGGGGAACCAAGAGCACGGGCAGAAACGAGGGAAAGCAGGTGGCTCGATGACATTACTCCTTTTCAGTAGGTGTTGGGAATCTAAAGAAAATAGTCCTTGGGCTAAACATGGCGTCTACAGCGGCAGAACATAATCACCAGAAAAGATTCTGCCCCATACCATTTTGTAAATCACGGCGCCATCCTTGCATAAATTTGGGGGCCGAGGGAGGAGACTTCGTCAACTAGCTGCAGAGGCTTGGGATGTCCTCGCAGACGGAGCGGGATTACATAACACAGGGGACCGGCAGAGCAGTCACTCGCTTCCCTCCTCCCGCGCAAAACCAGTGCTCACGCCTCCGCGCGTGGGGGCGGCGGGAACCCCGGACTCCGCAGCTGCGGCCCCGCGCGCCCGCCCGCCCCATCCCCAGCGACCGCCGCCCGAGCCCGCGCCGCCCACTCCTCCGAGGCGCTCGCGCCCGGCGTGCCTGTGGACGTCGGCGGTGCGCGGCCGTGGGGGGCGCGAGCGCGCGCGGCACCGCCGGGGGAAGGGGGCGGAGGGGGCATCCCGAGGCCTCGGCCACCGTCGGCCGGGGCGCGCGGCTCCGTGGCCCGGGCGCGCGCTCAGACTCGCGCGCGCTCTCTCACACACACACACGCGCGCGCGCGCCGCGCCCCACGGCCGCCGCTGACCCGCCGCCACTCGGGGGCCGCGGGCGCGCGCCCGGCCCTTCCCCCACCCCCCCGCGCGCGCCCCATCCCCCTCTCATTGTCTCGCTCCGGACCGCCTCGCCCAGCGAAAAGATAACGGAACCCCCGGGAGAAGGGGGTGGGGAGCGCCGGGGCTCGCTCGCTCACTCACCTCCCGTGGTCGTCGCCGCCGGTAGTCTGACCCGAGGAAGGCGCCGTCGCCTTAAAGGGACCTTGCACCCGGCGCCGGGAATAGGGGGTGGGAGCAGGGGAGGGGACGGGGGCTCGGGGGGAGACGGAGAAGAGGGAACCGTTGAAAGCTCCTCTCCCCGAGGGTGAAAGGAAGCCTCCCTCGGGTTCGAGTGATTGGGGTGGATTTTTTTTCCCGAGGGGGGCGGGGGTGCCCCGAGGGAGGGGGTGGGGGGGCCAAGGAATGCGGCTCCGTGTACGGGAGCTGGCGCGGGGGAGAGAGACGCCGACTCCCCCCACCGACCCTCTCGCCCCGCGGAGGGATATCTCTCGTCACTTCCGCCCTCCCCTTCTCGTGCTCTTTTGATTGGCTGGAGAATGTGCTACGTCATCGCTCATCCTAACCGTCGTCCGGGCCTCTTTCCTAATCAAGTTTGTGTGGTCCTGCAAATAAATAAATAAAGAAAAGATTTCATGGAGAAAAGAATAATTAGCTTCCCAAGCAGTATCCAAATTTTGCAGAGAAAAATGGGACTCCCAAAGGAAATGTTTTCCAATTTACTTTTTTTAGACTTTACAGAGGAATTTGGCCTCTCCCTACTTTGCACTCTAGGTTTATTCCCAACCAAGAGAACTTCATGCCACAGCAAGATGGTGAGTCCTAATGGCATTAACAGCTATCGATGCAACAAAGGGAAAGATAACACTCCTCTTTAAGACATACTTGTCCCAGTAGCCTTCCCTGACAGCGGCCTTGTCTAAATGAAATACTTTTTTGGCTTTGGGTTTTGTTATTTTGGGGTTTTTGAGACAGGGTCTCCCAACAGAGCCCTGGCTGTCCTGAAACAGTCTATGTAGACCAAATTGGCCTCTAACAGAGATAGGCCTGCCTCTGCTTCCCTAGTGCTAGGACTAAAGGCATACACCATCACACCTAGCTAAATGAAATACTGTTAAAACCAATTTACCATCAAGCTATTCTGAATTTTGGAGAGAAAACCCATGTGATTGATTATCAAGGTTATATTCTTCTGATGGAAGCTGCTTTGAAACCATTGTGAATAGACTCAAGAGGGATCCCCAATTCAGGAACCCTAAATTCTATGACCCTGTTTGATTACTTCAAACAAATTGATTGAGTACATTCAAGATTAATCACTTTTTCACACAAAAACTAACTTCTCGTAGCTAAGAAAATTTGTCTCTTATTGTGTCCTGAGATGATAAAATTTTAATATTTCCCTTGGATATTTGAGAATGATCTTTAACTATACATTGGCACTTGCTCCAAATCAAATGCTAAACAAAGGTATTTGGTGCTGGGATGGGTATATCCGGAGCCACATTTCCTCTTTTTTATTTATTCTTGAAGCTACTGGGCAGTCACTTGCAGACAATGAAAGATAGCTCAGCAAACTGTACCATGTTTTTCTGACCATAAAAGCCACTACCACACCTTTCTGAAGGTGTGTCATGTATGTGCCATTGATTCATTCACTATTCATTGTGTTTTTCATGTCCCAGGCATTGTTCTTGGTGCTAGGAATACAGGACTAGAGAAATGCCTCGGTGGATAAGAGCTGTTGCTGCCCTTCAAGAGGGTCAGAGTTCAATTCCCAGCACACCATCCTGCTCACAACTGTCTATTCCTCCAGCTCCAACGGATCCGGTGACCTCTTCTGGCCTGATTGGCATCTACACTCACGTCACGTGCATACCCTCCACCCCACACACACATATAATTAAAAATAAAACCATAAAAATAATTATAAATTATTTTTAATTAAAACATAAAACTACAGAAAACATCAGGCAGTGGTGGTTTACCCCTTTAATCTCAACACTCTGGAGGCAAAGGCAGGAGGAACTCTGTGAGTTAAAGGCTATCCTGGTGTACAGAGCAAATTCAGGACAGCCAGAACTGCATAGAGAGACCCTGTCTTGACGGAAAAAAATTATACATATGTATACATATATATATATATAGAGAGAGACAGACAGACAGACAGACAGACAGACAGAGAAAAAGATCAACAAAATCCCTGTATATAGGTATATGTGAAGTTTATACTCTACCAGGGAAGAGATAGGAAACATACACATAATAAACTCTTCTGCCAGCTATTAGTAGATATCAAATAGTCCCAAAATTTGCTGGTGTAAAATTATGATTCTCTTATCAATCATGATTCAGGAAGGTGATTGTCTAAGCTAATGGTTCTCATCTTAAATGGTGGTTGGTGCTTTGGTCATCTCAAACGTTTCCCTATATGTCTGGAAGTTGCTACTATTACAATGAACCACTGTTGGTCAGAATATTTACAAGTAGCCTCTCCCTGGGACCTTTGCTTCCTCATAACAAAATGACTAAATTCTGAGACTGGGTGCCTCAAGGTGACCAGGCAGAAATTGATGGCTTTTGTAACCAGGACATTTATCTGCTTCCTAGAAATGCAAACTGCCAAGTGTTATATAAATAAATAGTATGTGGTTTGGTAAGTGCTATGGCAATGGGTAGGATTCCAGGCTGGAATTCCAGGCTAGTGTAGGGAATGGTAAAGAAGTGACTGTTTTTTGTTTGCTTGGTTGATTTGTTAGGGGTTTTTAATTAATTAATTTTTTGTTATTTTTGTAGCCCAATCAGCTTCCCTTCCCCTCCTCCCCGTTCCTCCCTTACCCCCTCCCGTCTCCCCCTCACTGCCCTCCCCCATCACATCCACTCTTCTTCCACTGGTTCTGAGAAGGGACAAAGCCCTGGGCAAAAATCTGAAAAGAAAAGAAAAAGTTTAGGATTTAGTACTAATGAAAGCCAAACCACTGGAGGTTGTCAACCCCATAAGTGATCTCTTGCTTTTATTTATTTTATTATTATTATTATTTTTTTTTTTTTTGGTTTTTCGAGACAGGGTTTCTCTGTATTGTTTTGGAGGCTCTCCTGGAACTCACTCTGTAGATCAGGTTGGCTTCCAACTCACAGAGACTCGACTGACTCTGCCTCCAGAGTGCTGGGATTAAAGGCATGTGCCACCAACTCCCGGCTGACCTCTTGCTTTTAAAGATCACTCTGTTTGTGGGAGGGGCTCCTGTAACTGGGCGGAGTACCACAGGGAGACCAAGTAGGATATTACCATATTCATCCTGGTGAGGGATGATTGTAGCTTGGAGGAGGGTGGCAGTGGTAAAACGACCTCTGTAGCTGAGAGAGTTCTGCAGTTTTGTTTTGTTTACTTTTCCATAACTTATTTTTTCTGTCATTTAGTCTGTGCCCTGGGAGACACTTCTGACCCATGATAGTATGAATGATGGTGCTGTGTCTTAAAAAATGGAAGAACATGCTGAATGTAAAAAGGAGACATCTCTGAAGGAATGGATGAGCAAACAGAAGGTAAGGGTCAGCAAGCAATTATGGAATGGAGTAGATGCCACGGTGCTCAGTTCAGTTATGGAGAGCTGACAGGCAAAGGTATTTTGTAGACAGAGGAAGCTGCAAAGTATTACTTCAGGGCACTTCTAAAGGGACTGTACAAGCTGGACATCGTGGCAAGGACATACAATCCCAGTACTTAGGAGGTGAAGGCAGAGGATCAAGAGTCCAAGATCATCTTCGGCATACAGTGAGTTTGAGTCTGGGTAAAAGAGAACAAAGCTCTGCAGCTCTGCAGTCTGAGTAGTCCTGTGGTAGAGGGAATGTCTGTGTTTATTTGGACAATGCTGGAACATTTGGGTGTCATCACTTAATACATGGTTTTCTATGGTAGCTGTGGTCTGTCCCTCTTTTGAACCATCTTGATAATGATGAGAAACAAAGCAAGAGAACAAGCAACATTGAGCAAATCCTTAGAAATTAAGTCACGAGTGCCTCTGAGGCACTGGTAAGAGGTCTGGACAACAGTGCAGCTAGATGTTTTGAAGAAAGCAGACCCTAGTAATAACACCCCTAAAATCATCTACCCCTAGCCGGGCGTTGGTGGCACACGCCTTTAATCCCAGCACTTGGGAGGCAGAGGCAGGTGGATATCTGTGAGTTCGAGGCCAGCCTGGTCTATAAGAGCTAGTTCCAGGACAGCCTCCAAAGCCACAGAGAAACCCTGTCTCAGAAAAAAACCCAAACAAACAAATAAATAAACAAACAAACACATCTACCCCAGTCTTCAGTAGCCAAGTTAGAGACACTGAACGTTACAATCTGGGCTTCTAGGAAAGGAGGCTAAAGGTTAATGGCAGTTCCCACTGGAGCTTTTCACAATTAGATAGTAAGCAGGAGTTTCTTGTCCATAAATGGACACACTTGTTTGCTTCCTTGCCTTATGGTTTCTGCCACAGGTTGAAAATTGAGGCAACTTGTCACTTGGAAAATATCAAATGCTCCCAACAAGTCTTCAAAGGCACAAAGGCAGAGGTGGCCTTCGTGCTGTCCTTCTGTTAATACACAGACCCAGGAACTTGTATCTGAGGTTCAGTGTGAGGTGAAGCAGTGGGAGTTGCTGTGGGAAATGTGGTTGGGAGTGAAGAGGACCCCTACCCTCCCTATCACCCTCAGGGTAGTAGAAAATGAAAAGTAAAGAGACTTCATTTTGGGAAATGTAGCAGGAAAAACAGAAAGAACAAACACTTTTGCCATCTGAGCAGGTCCCGAATTGAAAAGATTGACAGCTTCCTGCACCGAGTCTGGGAGGGCAGTCAGCACACACAATCAGAAAGGAGGATGGGGATGCTGACCTCCACAGGGAAGTCACAGGAAGTACACAGAAAGGAGGATGGGGATGCTGACCTCCACAGGGAAGTCACAGGAAGTACACAGAAAGGAGGATGGGGATGCTGACCTCCACAGGGAAGTCACAGGAAGTACACAGAAAGGAGGATGGGGATGCTGACCTCTACAGGGAAGTCACAGGAAGTACACAGAAAGGAGGATGGGGATGCTGACCTCCACAGGGAAGTCACAGGAAGTACACAGAAAGGAGGATGGGGATGCTGACCTCTACAGGGAAGTCACAGGAAGTACACAGAAAGGAGGATGGGGATGCTGACCTCCACAGGGAAGTCACAGGAAGTACACAGAAAGGAGGATGGGGATGCTGACCTCCACAGGGAAGTCACAGGAAGTACACAGCAACTGGGGATTGTTTGAGCAGTCACAGAAGAAGCTTAGAAGCTGGGCTGGCTTTCATTTGCAGATGTCATTTGCTACCACCTTACAGGAGCGGAGGAAAAGCCCTTAAAGATTGGGTTTTGAAAGAAAGGGAGATTCTTCATTAGATTTTAGCAAGACACAATTAAAGAAAGGTCTCTAGCTCCAAAATGTATTTTGCAAAAAATTCACGAGAGCAACTTCATCAGCCATCAATATTTCACTGTGAATTACTGCCTGATTTCATAGGTGATAATGACTTAGTGTAGCTTCATCTTAATATTATTTAAGAGACACCCACAAACAAAACTACGCTGTTGCTATGGAGTTGACCAGGTGTGATTATCTAGTAATTTAATTAATGTTACAAAGCTTCATGGAAATGTAAATTGGACTATTTTATAGATATTTGATGTCTGACTGGCTCATATTTATAATGGGCTGCTGAGAAAAATGTACTAATCTTTTTCCAAATTACATTCTTTTTACAATTTAGCAATATTTGCATTTAATTATAGTCATGAATAATTTCCAGAAAGCAACCAAGAAAAGTAAATAATTTACCAACTCATTCTTTTGAAGGATTTGGAGATTAATCATTATAGATAGATGAAATACTTCAGAACCAAGGTTCAGAGGTTTGTAGCGCACATAGAGGTCAGCCCTCTTTTGGATGTGTTCCTGTCTCTGTCTGTCTGTGTAGTCTGTGTGTATCTCTGTCTGTCTGTCTGTCTGTCTGTCTGTGTCTCTCTTTGAGTTAAGATCACACTGTGTAGTCCTTGCTGTCTTCTACGCAGACAGATCTGGTCTTGAATTTGGAATGACCCTTCTGCCTCAGCCTCGGGAGTTGTAGGATATAATGCTCCACTGGTCTCGTTATTGAGGATGTACAGCAAAAGTAGGAAAGGAGAGGAAGTCATTGCCTATGGCAGCGAAAGAATCCATTTCTAATCCCTTTTTTGTTCCCTGAAACAAAAGGCAATAAAATATGAAAACATCTGCCAGCCAAGATTAAAGAAAATTTTTTTGTTGTTGTTGTTTTGGCTTTTCAAGACAGGCTTTCTCTGTGTAGCCCTGGCTGTCCTGGAACTCACTCTGTAGACCAGGCTGGCCTCGAACTCACAGAAATTCTCCTGCCTCAGCCTCCCAAGTGCTAGGACTAAAGGTGTGTGCCACCACCATCCAGCTTAAGATTTTTAAATATTAAGAAAGAAAACAGTAATGGCCGGGCATTGGTGGCGCACGCCTTTAATCCCAGCACTCGGGAGGCAGAGGCAGGCGGATCTCTGTGAGTTCGAGGCCAGCCTGGTCTACAAGAGCTAGTTCCAGGACAGCCTCCAAAGCCACAGAGAAACCCTGTCTCGAAAAACCAAAAAAAAAAAAAAAAAAAAAAAGAAAGAAAGAAAACAGTATCTCAATACTCACGGTCATCCTCCTGCCTTAGTGTCCTGAGTGCTTGGAGTGCACACATGACTTGTAATAATTTTATAGAAGGAAAACGATTTCATGTCTTCTGTCCAGGAAGTAATTCTTGTTGCTGAGTTTATGTAAATGCAGTTGTGCTATGGCATAAATACAAACCTCTTTCCTATCTGATCACCTGGCCAACATTGATCTCCTCTTCTAGTGTGCTGAGACCCTATTTCTAGCCAGGAAAAGTGATTTTTTTTAAACCTTTTCTGCATTGTGAACCACTCAAATATCTTGATGAAGGGGAAAGACTGTATTTCCCAGGAAAATGCACACTTGAACACACATTTACAGAACTTTCAGACTTGAGGCCCATTCGTGGGTCTGCTGACCCTGGGGAAAGATCCCCAGGTTCTTTGGATAAGAGAGTTCATTCTTGACCTCCCGGAGAAACAATATTTTTCTTGATAATCATATAGCATAAGAACTGAAGACCATTCTACTAGCATGTGGTTTCTCACTATTTTTACTCTCTGTCACAAAGGATGTTATTTAATATCTGTAATGTTGAGGAGCCTATAGGACCCCAGGATGACCCCAGCTGCTTCAGTGAGTGGAATTGATTGTTTCTGGCATTGAGGAGGATTTCTACACCCCTGCAAATATGGTGGTTCTTTTGAAAGCCTGGTCCTACTCCAATGACCAATGCCTTGACTATGAGTCAAGAAATATGCAGACCACTCTGCATTTTCAGGAACCTGTTCTGACTAGTTTCTTTATGGTCAACCTAATGCAACCAAGAGTCACCTGAGAAGAGGGAGTCTCAACCCAGGGAGTGCCCAGATCAGACTGGCCTGTGGCCATATCTGTGGGAAATTGTCATGACTGTTGACTGATATGGGAAGGCTTAATCTACTGTTAGCAAAGCTACTGCTGGGCAGATGGTCCTAGGGTGTATAGGAAAGCTAAGCACAGAGGAACAAGGGGGCAAGCCAGTAAGCAGTGCTCCTCCGGGGTCTCTCCTTCAGTTCCTGCCTCCAGGATCCTGCCTTGAGTGCCTGCCCTGACTTCCCTAATGATTGTTGTCTGGAAGTGTAATCTGGAATAAACCTTTGCCTCCCAAGTTGTTTTTGGTCATGATATTCATTACAGCAACAGAAAGCAAATTTGAACATCTCTCTTGAAGCTGAGATAATGATGAATTTGAATGAATCTGGCTCAGATCATTTAAAAATTAATCCAAGCCGGGCAGTGGTGGCGCACACCTTTAATCCCTGCACTCAGGAGGCAGATACAGGCCTATCTCTGTGAGTTCAAGACTGGCCTTGTCTACAGTATGAGTTCCAGGACAGCCAGAGCTAACAGAGAAACCCTGTCTCAAAAACCCAGAATAAATAAATAATAAAGGAAAAAGTTAATCCAAAAACCACTGGCCTGTTGTTACATTCCTGTAATCCCAATGTTCAGGGAGGTGAGGAAGTGGATCACAGGTTCAAGGCCAGCCTGAACTACATAGAGAGTTTTAGGCTAATTTGGGCTATATCAAGACCCTGTCTCATTAAACAAACAAATTTGATTTGCCTCCTATCAGTGAGAAGGCACATCTCTGTTTTAGTTACTGTTCTATTTTTTTTTTTTTTGATTTTTCGAGACAGGGTTTCTCTGTGGCTTTGGAGGCTGTCCTGGAACTCGCTCTGTAGACCAGGCTGGCCTTGAACTCACAGAGATCCGCCTGCCTCTGCCTCCTGAGTGCTGGGATTAAAGGCGTGTGCCACCAACATCCGGCTTGTTCTATTTTTTTTTTTAATGTATAGTATTCTGCCTGCATGTATGTCTGCATGCCAGAAGAGGGCACCAGATCTCATTAAGATGGCTCTGAGCCACCCTGTGGTTGCTGGGAATTGAACTCAGGACCTTTAGAAGATCAGCTTAACCACTGAGCCATCTCTCCAGCCCCCAAGACAAATCTTATAAAAGGAAGCATTTAATTGGAAGCTTGCTTACAGTTTTAGAGGGTTAGTCCATGTTTCATCATGGTGGAAAACAGACAGGAATGGTGCTATAGCAGTAGCTAAGAGCTTCGCATTCTGATCCATAGACATCAGGCAGAGAGACAGAATGAGACACTGGGCCTGGCATGGGTTTTTGAAACCTCAAAGCCCATCCCCATTGACACACTTCATCCAGGTCACACCTCCTAGTCCTTCTCAAACCGTTCCACTAACTAGGTTACAAGCATTCAAACATATGGGCATCATTCTCATTCAAACCACCATAGCCCCCAGTGTGGAAGAGACAACCCCTGAAGTACTGCTGGACTACTAAATTACCCAGAACATACTGGAATTTCCTGGAATAACAACAAAGCCTTTATTGCCTTAGGCCATGGAGAGTCCAAGATTAACATGCTAATGTAGCATATCCTACTTTTACTGACTGACACATTGACATAAAGGTTGAATTTTAGGTCTGGGACTGTAGCTCAGTCTAGTTCTTAGCTTGAATTATGAGGGCCTGGATTTGATGACTAGCACTACATAAGGGCACTTGCCATCAACCTCACAACCTAAGTTCAATTTTGGGGTCTCAACATGCTAAAATTACAAACAGGCTGCCACACTCAGCCATGGGTGGATGGTGGATCCAAGACAAGCGCTTCACTCTCTGAGCTATCTCCCCAGCTCTGGAAAGTCTTTGCTTGTGGGCCTATGAGATGGTTTGGCAGGGAAGAACATGGTGATGACCTGAGTCTGACACCCAAGGACAGAGAGCAGGGTCTCCCACTTAAACTCAGAGCTTGCTAAATTGGCCTAGCCAGCTTTCTCTAAGAACCCCAGGTCCCCACATTTAATTGTGGAAAATAAAGGGTATCAACTTTGGCCAGGTGGTGGTGGTGCACATCTTTAATCCCAGCACTCAGGAGTCAGAGGCAAGCAAATCTCTCTGAGTTCAAGGGCAGCCTGGTCTACAAAGTGAGTTCCAGGACAGGCTTCAGTGCTACAGAGAAACACTGCCTCTAAAAAAAAAAAAAAAAAAAAAAAAAAAATATCAACTTTGGCCTCCACAGCATGCATGCATGCATACATACATAAATACACACACACACACACACACACACACACACACACACACACACACACACACACACTCTCCCATGCACACACTGATACGATGTTTTAAAAGTAGCCCTCTTCTGTTCCTCCTTTTCTGTTACTTTCTCCTGCTCATGATCCTCAGATCAGAAAACATGGGCTTCCTCCTTCTCCTTTCCTTGCATGCTCTTTCAGTAGTGGGCAGTAGATTTTATGGTCTGGCAAGCATTCGAAGAGTCCATAACTTCTCCACTCTGTGGGGTGGTGCTCTGAGTTAAGGCCAGCCTGAGCTACATAGAGAGTTAAGTCTTCAGCATTTAACTCCCCAAAACTGGAGAGGGTTTTTGTTTGTTTGTTTGCTTGTTTGGTTTAGTTTTTTTTGAGACAGGGTTTCTTTGTGGCTTTGGAGACTGTCCTGGAACTCGCTCTGTAGACCAGGCTGGAATCAAACTCACAGAGATCCGCCTGCCTCTGCCTCCCGAGTGCTGGGATTAAAGGCGTGCGCCACTGCCGCCCAGCTGGAGAGGGTTTTTTAATTTAAAAATTTTTTAAAGGAAATAAAATGTAGGCAGTCTTTCAAACCACTAGCCACTAAATTACAAAGTTCTTGACTTGCTCTGAACCCCCATTTTGAGTGTCACAAATGTCCTGCATCCTCTCTGTTACATATTATCATTTCCCCAGGCAGATGGACGCCACAAGCCAACTAAGGATAAAGTCATTCATCCAGAAAGGAAACAACACAGCAAAAGTTTTCACATTACATTTCTAATTGTTCTTGAATTCTCCTCCTCTCATCTTTCCCTTTATACACCAGTGACTGCCCTGTGACCCTCATATTTCAAGCTCCAAGATTTATTGTTGAGGTTGACTCCCAACTAACTGAAGAGCACCCTCGGCCTGTGACAAGAGAGCGTGCTGGACAAGTGGAAGTAAAAGCAGTTACATCCATTCACCAGTTTGCTTTTTCTCTCTCCAAAGGCACTTTTTTTCTTTCATTTTTTTGAGATAGGATCTTGCTATGTAGCACAAGCTGACCTTGAACCTAAGACCCTCCAGTTCCAGCCTCCTCATGTGTTGGCGTTGCCCGCAAGTGCCCATACACATGTCGGTGCAACACTGAACGTTTCACTCAGTGTTCTGAGAGCAGGTTCCCTCCCTCTGTGTCTGCCTGAAATTGTCCCCTTCCATCTGGTGTCTGCTCCATATGCTTCAGATGCCAGTTAACAAGTTAAGACTTTGAGGTCCCCAGTGCTCTCACAGATGTCAAACTGTATTTTAGGGAGTGGGTATTTGTGAGCAAAATTCAGGCTTCATCTTCAATGAGTGGCTGACAGGAAACTGAAGTGAGAACCAGGTACCAGATGAAAGTTCCTACCCGCATCTGTCTGTTTAACCTGAGGCAGGAGAGTAAGACTTCTGAAGTCAAACCCTGCCTAAACCACTATTTATTGCTTCAACTTATCCAGGTCGATTTCCCCAGGAGACAGTAAGCAAATTCATGGACTTAAAGCATATACAATGTGAGTATAGGAAAGTAATTTTAGCTTCCAAAATGACTATGAATATTATGTTGTCATTGACATTTAATATTACTAGCAGGCCATTAACCTTAACCACTCTTAACCGCTGAGCCATCATTCTAGCCCCAGGAGGGTGAAATTCTAGAAGGTGTCAGAAACCATGCAGTAGGAGCCAGAGACACATCTTCACGACACTACCTGAAGAAAACTGAGTTCATTTCCAGGACCTCTCTACTAGGTGAAGCCACTGCACCACAGAAGAGAGCTTAAGTGAAAGCCAGTACAAAACAGAGTCTAGAGATTTAGTTCTTGTTCTGAGTGTGCATGCAATGCCATTGTGCACACATGGAGATCAGGGGATCACACTGTGGAGTGGATTCCAGGATCCAATTCAGGTCACTGGTCTCCATGGAAAGTACACCGGTCACCACCCGGGAGGGGGGACTCATTAAGAAGATATCGTAGCACAGATTTGAGTAGAGGGACTAATAGATAGAAAGGTGCTCAGAGCACTGGCTGTTCTCCCAGAGGACCCGGGCTCAATTCCCAGCACCTGAACGGTGGCTCACAGCTGTCTGTAACTCCAGTTCCAGGGGATCTGATACCTTCATGCACATAAAATAAAGTTAGATAAATTATTTAAAAAAAAGAAAGGTGCTCAGAGAAAGGCTGGTACACACGGAACCATGGGCATGGGCTTCATAAGAAAGAATGGTGCTTAAGTGTCTCAGCAGCACTCATACATACGACTTTAGTGACCTCTCAGTAGGTGACTAAGAAACTTTCTTTTTTAATCATTTTTTATAATGAGGTCTGTAGTGTGGTCCTGAGGTAAGCTGAATAGGATTGCAGTCTGATAAGTTAAATCCATAGGCCATGAGCTGGAAAGATGGCTTAGCAGTTAAGAGCACATACTACTCTTGCAGAAGATCCGGGTTCAATTCCCAGAACCCATATAGGGTTCCTCACAACCACCTGTGACTCCAGTTCCAGGGGATTCAATATTGCTGGTCTCTAAGGTCACTGTACTCATGTGCACACCCCACATATACATAACTAAAAATAATTTTTAAATAAATCTTTTTTAAAACCTCATAGATCACAAAGGTTGCACAAAGAGGTTGGGACTTTAGTTTTTTACTGTAACTGGAATTTCTTATGAGATTCTTAGAAAACTGCAGGTTCCCAAATTGCAGCTGTGAGAGGAGAAAAGCCCATATTTGGTCACAGCTGTTTGGCACCTAAGCATAGTTTGCTGCTATTTAAGCATCCTTTTAAAATATTTATTTCTATTATTTTTACTTTGTGTGTGTGTGTTTGTCTGCAGGTCTGTGTGTGTGCCTCAAATGTGCAGGTACCTGCTGAAGACAGCAACAGTTCCCTGGGAGCTGGAGTTACAGGAGGTTGTGAGCTGTTGGATGCGGTGATGGAAAGTGAACTCTAGTTCTCTGGAAAAGCAGAAGTCCTCTCATTGATTGAGCCACATCCAGCCCCTGTTTCATTTAATTTTGTTTGAAGCATCTCTCAATAAAAGAAGTACCGTGTCTACGTAAGCAACATTCACAGCAAAGTCTGCTTATTGTGCTAGTGCTCTTGATTCTCAGTTGCAGAGACTTCAACTAGGTTCCGGAGTGGAGGCTCCTCCCTTCTCTTTCCCCATTCCCCTAATTTTTCCTTCTTTCCTACCCTGCCTCAAAGTGGGAATGAAGTGGAGAAATACTGATGTTTAAAAATAGGAGCAGATGCCGGGCGGTGGTGGCGCACGCCTTTAATCCCAGCACTCGGGAGGCAGAGGCAGGCGGATCTCTGTGAGTTTGAGGCCAGGCTGGACCGATAACCTCCGAAACAATACAGAGAAACCCTGTCTCGAAAAAAAACAAAAACAAAAAAAAAATAGGAGCAGAGGGGCTGGAGAGATGGCTCAAGGGTTAAAAGCACTGATTGTTCTTCCAGAGGACTCTGGTTCAACTCCCAACACCCACATGACAACTCACAACTGTCTGTAAAGAGTTCCATGGGATTCAACCCTGTCTTCTGATGTTCCTGAGCACCAAGCATTTTGTGTGTGTGTGTGTGTGTGTGTGTGTGTGTGTGTGTGTGTGTGTGTCTGTCTGTCTGTCTGTGTGTGCGCACACACCCATACCAGTGCCGGCAAAACACATGCATAAAATAAAATACATCTAAAAAATGGGAGTAGAGGAGTTGGAGAGATGGCTCAGCAGCTAAGAGCACTGTCTGCTCTTGCAGAGGACAGGGGTTCCAATTCCAGCACCCACATGGCAGCTCAAAACTGTTGGAAACTTCAGTTCTAGGGGACCCAACGCCCTCACACAGACATACATGCAGGCAAAACACTAATGCACATAAAATAAAAATAAATTATAAAATAATGGGGGTAGAGATACAGCTTAGCATACAGAAAACCCTGGGTTCAAGTCCCAGCATCCATAAACAAGGATGGTGGTACACACCTGTAATCCCACTACTCAGGAGGCAGACACAAGAATCAGGAGTTCAAAGCTATCTTTGGCTGCATAGCAAGTTTGAGACTAGCCTGAGCTACTTGAGACCTTGTCTCAAAATAGCAAACTAAAATGAAACTAAATAATAATAATTAATTCACAGGGTATTTGATCCCATGATATCCCAGCAGTCCAGGCTTCTCTGAGACTACTTGGGTGGAGAGGGAGCACAGGATTTGGCCACATTTACAATGTGTGTGGAATATGTCCATTGTTCAAGGGACAGAAGAAAAGCTATAGAGAAGTGGGGAGCTTGGAAGAAATGCCTTCCTATTTCAATTTATAGCCTTCCTAACTGAAATAATGGTTTCAGAGAAAGAGATTATTCACACAATATTCAGAGCAAATGCTGAGATGGGAAGATGATAAGAAAGATAATTAAATCGGTACTATTCTTAAAATGAAACACTGTCTAAGCAGAGAAATAAATTAGATGCCTTTTCATACATTTCAAATCTAAGCATCCTAAAAATATTAAGTGCACTGTGTACCGTGGTGGTTTTCAGACTTCTTTTTTTTTTTTTTTCTCCAAGCACCAATGCATAGTCAGACATACATCCTAGGGCTAGGGCTATAGTTCAGTCGTTGGGCACCTGCCTGGAATGTGTAAGAACCTTGGTTCAAGGTCAGCACTGCAAAAAAAAAATATTGTTATTATTGTATTCTCCATCTTGATTTCATACAGCACTCTCCATATTTTCATGATTTCTCGATTCAGGTTTCATGAAAAAGCACTGATCTAAATATGTAATCTTTCTTTTATCTCTCTCCTCCCTCTCTTCCTAACACCCCTAAAGCTGATTTTCCACCCATTTTGACAAACGCAGGTCCAATGGAGTTTCTTAATCATTAAATATTTCTGCAGGTGAACCCACCCACAATATGGAGACAATTTAGCAATGCCTGAAAAGGGCAGCGTGTAGATATGACATTTGTCTTAAGGATTGAAGAATCCATTCTTTGGAGACTGGGCTTTCCCAATCGGTGAAAACTAAGGACTTGGAGGCAGGGCTTGAGAACCTGAGACCAGCAAGTCTGAAGACAACCATTTGTCTAACGGAATCTACCCTCCATCGATTTTTTTTTTTAACGTATCCTAAGTGTTCAGCATCAACGTGAACATTTAACAATTAACACAATAATCATAACTCTGGCTCTTCTCGGAATAGAGAGAGCACGGTTTTTCAAACCCGGCTCTCGCGCCCCCCCCCTCCCGCCCCCTGCACCCCAGACCCGCTCCAGCCTCGGGTAACTTTTCCCTCCAGTTTGGTGGAAGGCTACATTGGAAGAAAATAGTTCCTACCGTCTAGAAAGTTTTCAGGGAAAAAGAGGGCGTCTGATGAGCCGGCGGTGCGGGGCGCTGCTCGAGGCCAGCGGTGCGTGGCGGTATCCCTGGCGTCCGCCCAGCGCTGCTCCGCGGACCCCGCACTCGGGAGGCCCCCGCCGCGGGGCAGGGAGGGCGGCGGGAATCTCCTCCAGCCTGGAGTCCGCTGGGCTTTGCCAGGACAGTCTTTTTTTTTTTTTTTTTTTTAACTGGTCATTTCTACTTCATGCTCTCCAGGCCTTACTTAGACTGTGTGGACGGAACCACAGTAGGAGTGCAGAAAATAAGGTGACTTGGAGAAAAACAATATTTAGAGTATAGATTTTCCTTTCTCGCTCAAGCTAATTTGCATGCAAATTACGTCGTGACAGGCCCGCAGACCCAGCTAGCAAGCCCCGTGGTCTGCACGCCTCCGACACCAGATTAAGATTTTGGTGTGGTAGTAATTTTCCCAAATGGAACCGCACTCTCTAAACCATCACTTGGGAAGAAATGAGCGTGGGTGATGGCTTTGGGTTTTGCTTCACTTGTAATACAGGCCCTTGTTTCGAGTTATAAGGTTCTTCTATACCTAGCTCAGCCTGGTGTAGCACAGATCAATTTTTTTTAATTTGTTGATAATTTACATAGTTTCTAAACAGATTTAGGATATTTTGCTTTCTCGCAAAAAACAAAAGTAGTGTGGTTCTTGCTGTCTTGATGGAGCAGAAAACAGCCTCATTCTGCTGGTTGACAATGTCGGCAGACATTTGTGTGTTTGGTTCAGGATGCTGTTGGGTACTCAGATAAAACAATCTGACATACTTATTCAGTGCATTAGAAACAGCAATAAGATTTCTTTTTTTATTTTAGAAGCAATCTTATTTTACATATCAGCCCCCCCATCCTCCCTCCCATCCTCCAATGCCCCCCCCACCGACCTACCCCCCCCATCCACTCCCCAAGGATAGTGAGGTCTTCCCTGGGGATCATCAAAGTCTACCTCATCATTTGGGGGAGGGCCTAGGCCCTCTTTCATGTATCTGGGCTGCAATAGTATCCCTCCATAGGGAATGGGCTCCTAAGCACTAAGATTTCTTATGCTTATAGTCTGTGCCATGCTATGTGCCTGAGCTTTGTAAATTATAAAGTTCTTGTGATATTCTTTAGTGAAATGGATTCATCTCATTGCAGTGCTATTCGTTTTTAAAAGCCTAAGAAAGATTAATTAAATGACAGCAGCTAGTATTATTTATGTTGATGTCTTCCAAAATGCTTTTTGTATGTCAAATAATAAATACTGGTTTGGATGGGTGAAGGTGCCACACTGGAGGCTACACATAGTAGAAACTTTAGGGTGGGGACTTGATAGCACAGATGAGGCCAAGTGTGGTGACAGCTGCCCTGTGGGCCTTTGCTAGATGTGGGCCCTCTTGACCTAGGAATGTGGCTCACTTAAACGTTTTAGGGTGGGGGAGTGTGCCTAATCTGCAAGTAGGACCTCCCCTCTTGTCAGTATGGAACCTAAGAAGTTTGTCTAAACACAGAAAGGCCATGCTCACTTGATGAAGGTCAAGGGGAAAAAATGTCTACAAGTTATTCAAGCTATTGGTGTCAAAAGCAATTGGGGCCTCAGCTTCCATCCCATCACGTGATGGAAAGTAAGTGCCAGGAGGCTTGCGGGTCACGTGATTTGCCAGAGGGATTAGGTCTGGATTTCCTTGTGTCTCTGCCTTGGGTGTACGGGAAAGATTGAAGCACTACTTGGAGAGTTGTTTATTTTCTGCTGTTAGCTAAACTGTGGAAACCTGTTGAAGAGATTTACTGAGCTGTTTGCTTGGATTAAGACTTTAGTGAATTAATTAAAAAAGGTTCTGAGAGACAGAATGTGCCAGACCCCTACTGGCTCCTAAGATTGTACTTTGTTACTGACAGGGCGTGACAACTGAGCTTGGCGCGTGTGAGCTGCGGGGGAGTAACTCCAGCACAGTGCCGATGTGTTCAAAGGCATGCAGGTGTTCACACTCAAACTGGCCTTGACGCCCACGCCCAGGGGCCCAGGACTCATTTCCCTCTGCTCAAGGGCCCTGAGCTCAGCAGGCTATCAGACTGACGAGATGCTGTGCTGCTCATTTGCCAACAGTGAAATCACAGGTCTGAAGAGCCTCAGTGCTGTGTTTAACTGAGCATTGACGTCAAGGCCTTATGTCTAGGAAGTGTTCAGTCATTCAGCTGTATCCCTGCCCCTGGTTCTGGTTTTTCAGGACAGGGTCTAGCTACGAAGCCTAAGCTCTCCTCCAACTCCCAGTTCTCCTGCCTCAGCCTCCTGAAAGCCAGGATTACAGGTGTGTGTGTGTGTGTGTGTGTGTGTATGCGCACGTGGATGCAGGTTCCCACAGAGGACGATAGATCCCCTGGAGCTGGAGTTACAGTTGTGAGCCACTGGACATGAGTGCTGGACACTGGGAGCCCGTGCTCTGAAAGAGAGCACCAAGCTCCTAATCATCAAGTCATCTTGCCAGTCCAGCTTCTCAGGCCTCCGTGTGTTAGCACTAGTGTGTCTAAATAGTTGGTTTAGAATGTAGTTGAGACAATGTTCAGTTACTGAGCTGCTCAGTTTCCAGAGCAGCTGAAAGTGAACTAAACCATTGCCCAGTAGCCCTAGAAAATAAACGGACTTGTAGAAGTGCTCTTAACCTTTTGAGGGGCAGTGTGTGGGTCTGGCTAGTTTTGAAATCACATTTCTTTTCATGAAAATGCCAACACTGAAGCTGAAAGCCATCATCATTGATAGAATTTTCTGAGACAAGGTCTCACCATATACAGCCTTGGCTGTTCCGGGGCTTGTTATGTAGACCAGGCCAGCCTTGAATGCATAAAGATCCACCTGCCTCCCAAGGGCTGGGATTAAAGGCATACACCACTAAGCCCAACCTTTCACTGATGTACTGATCAGTGAGTATATGTCGATGTGTCGGAGTGCTGGCCCTTGGAGATGCTTCAAGACACATCAGTTCTAACAGACCTAAATTCAGGGTCTTGCACGTGCTAGATTATATCCCTGAGTTATAGCCCTACTCCTTTTGCATTTTATTTTTTTAAGATTTATCTATTTTAATTTTATGTATGTGGGTTTTGGGGGAAGGTTTTGTTTGTTTGTTTTGAGACAGGATTTCTCTGTGTAATAGCTCTGGCTGTCCTAGAACTCAGTTTGTAGATCAGGCTGGCCTTGAACTCACAGGCATGCACTACCATTGTCTGGCTTATATATGTGCTTTATCTGCAATGTATGTCTGTGAACCTCATGAAGAAAAGGTCAGAAGAGAGCATTGGCTCTCCTGGAATTGGAGAAACAGGCAGTTGTGAGCTGTGGGTGCTAGGAACCAAATTCAAGATTAAGAGCTCTTTGACACTGAGCCATCTCTATAGCCCTATTTTATTTTATGTGTGTGTGTGTGTGTGTGTGTGTGTGTGTGTTCATTTTATTTGTGTGTGTAAGGATTCAGGCTTTACGCTGGCCTGCCCCTGTCACCTGGCAGAATGCACTCCGGCAGTACCTTGGTCAGCCCAGGGTTCCATGGCGACTGTTCGGCACGCAGGCGCAAAGGACCCACATCGCTGTCTTTCCCGCTGTTCCCCTGGGGGCAGACAGGGCTTTTCCTGTCTCCCTCTTCTCTTCTGTCGTCTCCCTGTCTGTTTCTGTCTCTGTGTCTCTTTACCTCTTTGCTCTTTCCTCCCCCCCCCCTTTTTTTTGTTTGTTTTTGTTTTTTACGAGACAGGGTTTCTCTGTATTGTTTTGGAGGCTGTCGGTCCAGCCTGGCCTCGAACTCACAGAGATTCGCCTGCCTCTGCCTCCCGAGTGCTGGGATTAAAGAGGTGCGCCACCACCGCCCGGCTCCTTCCCCCTTTCTAATAACACTTCTCACTTATGCTCTGTCTGCCTGGCATGTTTGCCCCCTGCCTCGGTCACACTCGCCTGCCATGGAATCCGCCAAAGTCCCCCACGCAATTTATCATAACAATGTGTTTTTATCGTTGCATGTGCTTGTGTATGAGTGCACATGTATGTGCAGATGTGTATGCTTGCATGTGTGCGTATGCATCTAGGCTACAGGCCAATGGAGGATGTCTTCCTCAGTCACTTTCTACCTTGTTTTTGAGAATGAGTCTATCACTGTGCCGGAACTCACCCAGTCAGCTAGGCTGGCCGCCAGAGAGCTCAAGGGATCTGCTTCTCTCCCTCTCCTCTGCCCTGAACCTACAGATGTGCACCAACTGGGTTTTTCTGTGGCTGCTAGGGACCTGAACTCAATTCCTCATGGTTGCATGGCAAGCATTGAGCCATCTCCCCAGAACCTGTAGGCTTTCATTTATTTCGTGACGAGGTCTCACTAAGTTGTCCAGGCTGCCCTTGAATTTTTGATCTCCTTCCTTAACTTTCCAACGAGCTGGGTTTACAGGCCTGTGCTGCTAGGCATGGTTAATACCTCACTTAATGTGGAGAACAGTGTCATTCAATGGAAATATAATGAGTTCCATATACATGATATAATCATATTTTTAAATAAAAATAAAAACAAGCTGGGCATTGGTGGCACACACCTTCCCAGCACTTGGGAGGCAGAAGCAGGCAGATATCTGTAAATTCAAGGTCAACCCTGTATACAAAGCAAGTCCCAGGACAGCCAAAGCTACACAGAGAAATCCTCTCAAAAAAACAAAATAAATAAATAAGTAAATAAAAAAATAAGGAGGGACTGATAGATAGCTCAGAAGTAAAAGTATTTGATGCCAAGCCTGCTGACTTGAGTTTAATTCCAGAACCCACTACACACACTAAATACACTAACACATGTATAAATAAACAAATTTAAAATATATACAAAATAGAAAGGAAACCTCGGCCTTTTCTTAGAATTGAGTAAGATTTGTTTTGTTTTTTTTATTCCAGCATGATCTTCAGTTAACTTCCCCCTTCTGTGGTATGTGTATGTATTTGAGTGTATATGCATACAGCAAGTGCTTGGGATGCCAAGGGCAAGCTTGGGTATCCTTTCTCAGGTGCTGTCTTACTCCCTGTTCCATTGCTGTGCAGAGACAGCCTGACCATGGCAGTTCTTATAAAAGAAAGCATCTAATTGGGGCTGGCTTACGGTTCAGAGGTGTAGTCCATCATCATCATGGCAGGAAGCATGGTGGCGTGCTGGTGAGGTAGTTGAGAGTTCTGTATCCTGATGTGAGTCTGAGTGGGAGACACTGGGCTGTGCATGGGCCTTTGACACCTCAAAGCCCACCCCAATGACTGCACCTCTTCTTCCTCTCAGATAGTCCCTCCTTGGTGACTAAGCATTCAAATATGTGAACCTAAGGGGAGGGAGGGCATTCTCATTCAAACCACCAGGGGTGCTATCTGCCTAGCTTTCAGAGACGAG